CCATCATCGCGAAAAGAGCTTGTGGGCAAACGCATGCTCGGGAGATGTGTATGCGTTTGCTTTTATGAATGAAATGACTTAGCTTATGGATTGTGCGCCAGCGTTCATGAATGAAAATTGTTGGTGTGTGATTACTACAAATTTAGGATGTTCATATTGGCTCCATATTGATTTCTGGTGCTGATGCTATTTGAACAATTGTTGTTTTGTACAACAATGTTTGATTTTTGCCTATTGGCTGATACTATACATTTGTACGCTTAAATGTATGTAGATTGTGTATGCATACTTATTTTGCGCGTCATACGCATATTTGTATATACACTTACATATAGAGCAGTGCGCTCACATGTTTTTATTGATAATTGATATATATTACAAGTATATTATATAATATAACGTATTGATGTACATATGTAAATAAATAAATTAATAATCTGGAACAACTGAAATTAGAAAATAGAAAATAGTAAAATATCATTTCTTGCATAATATTTCACATTTTATTATTGTAGCATTTGTGCAAAAAATCATATTTTATCAATTTTTCATCATAAAAATCGTTTATATGGCAAAAAAAATCATGCATATGTGAATAGTATTTATTTCTCATTCATTTCATTCATTTTTTTCTTTGTGTGAGAGACGATAATTTGTCAGAGTTATAAATTCTCATTTCTGTTAAATAACAGCAAATATTACAGAAAATGGTGAACTCCTTGATCTCAAATTTTCAGCAAACCAATCGAGCATCATACAAAATTCACTTTGCACCTTCTCGTTCATTTAAGTTCTCTGGTAATAACCCAACGATTACCCTCCTCCCGCCCAACCAACGCGAGGGGCGCAATCCGCATACGTGCGGAATTAGCCGAGTCAGAAAAGGCAAGAGAGTTTTTTAAGTGTTGTGATCTAAAACTGCTCATCTACAGAAACAAAAATTTCAACAGCTAAGATTTATAGATACGATATAATAAATTGTTACATTTTCATTTATTAAGAGAAAACAATAAAGTCTTTTTAATTTTGAAAAGTGATTCACATTAGTCAAATGTGCTAGAATGAGACATACATACATAGAACAAGAGAATTACTTTGAATAACGGAACACTTTGAAGAGGTATCAACGTATACTAAATCTAAGCATTTACCAAATTTATTCGGAATCAAATTAATTTGGTTCAGACACAACTCGGACATTTTTTCGAAAAACTCATTAAAACATGACCGATTGCAAATCGGTACGATATAGTTATCGAAAGCTTTCCACGAATCACACGGTAAATTGAAATCTCCTAATACGATTATTGAATTTGCATTATTTGTATACAGATAAGTCCGAATGGGGTGGTATATAAGATACTGTTAAATAAATAAAACAACTATTAACATAGATATAACTCAAATACTTTTACATTCAAATGAGTCAATTCCTGGAAAAAGAACATCTTCAGATGGGATAGAGGAATGTTACGTCGCTTAAATATACTGACTGAACAAAGAGCCGTTTAAACAACATATATGCAAATTTTTATAAACTTACGGCAAAGAATCTACCTATCTTTCTCTAACCTACGTTGGGTATTTTTGGACTGCAATATTAAATTTTAAATTGAGCAAAAAAGGTGACCAAATTATTCGGTAAATAAAAAATCTCAAAAGATCAAATTAATAAAGAATTTTTTTTTAAACAAGAACATAAGCACATACGCATATGTACATCTATTCAAAGTCCACATTGGCTGATTTCAAGCAATACCCCTTGTTCTTTTTGAAACACAAGCAAGCAGGATTGCATACAAAACATAAAAGCATATTACATGCTCACATAATTCGTGCATACATACATATGTATGTACACAGCGCATTGATCTCTTCAACGAGCTCTCGATTACACAATTACATAAATATATACATACAACTCCGTGGTTGGCAAAAGGTTTCCCACCTGAAACTAGCAGATCCCAATTGCAATACGCCCGCTCAAATAGATATAATAGTAGGCAGCGACCTTATATCGCAAATACTACATGAAGGTGTTGAAAAAATTTCAAAGACCCTTGTAGCCCAAAACACTATATTCGGTTGGATTCTATGTGGACTAGTTAGAGAACCAGTTTCCACACCAACAACTCAAGTTGACGAAAACTCAAATGATTCAATTACAACCCCAGAATATCTATATTGTGAATACTTCAACCAGAGAACTTAGAACAAGTTGTTTTAAGTTCTCTGGTTTAATATCGTACATATATTTTGAACGTTTCCTTCACTTTTATTATATATATTTTTTCTTTTGTATAAAAATTTCATTAGGAACAAAGTGTCAATTTTGCGTATATTATAAAGACTTTTAAATGCACAATTTAATACTTTCGGCACAATATATTTTTATATAATGTACGATTAGTAACTGTATAGTTTTAATTTCACACAACGGAATTAAACATTCACTTTTTAGTTCAGATAATTATAATTTTTATTACTCACAATTTCTTTTTCACAATTTGTAGTTCGGATAATTCAAATTTTTATTATCCAATATTATGTATTAAAACAATTTGTTTTTTCTTAGCCTGAGGGTAAAATGGGTAGATTATAAAAAAAAAAATTTGGGACAAAAAAAAATGACATATTCTATCGACATCGTACAAGGTGCAATGATCTTACTATAACATTAAGTGACGTAATGTCATTGCGAATGTACCAATCAGCCATTTCAGTATGAGTTCACCAAATCGGAGTGCATATGATTTAATCAACACAGATATAAATCGTGAAGCGCAGTAGGATACTGTCGAATTAGCACCGACTGTTATTCGCAATGTTCCACTACTAAATGATGAACAAAAATTAATTTACGACCGCATACTATTTGACGGCAAATACTGGATGGATGAAATTACCGACGGATTTTACAGTCATCAACACACAAAATACTCTCATTGGGAATATATTTCCCGATTTACACACACTCACACTTAATGCCTGGCAGAAAGAGTGATTTTGTCAGTAAAAGATGTAGACGTCAATGGATTAAATTCAATGATACAACCGTTGTAGCCATGGGACTTGGTGTCATAGAAATCTATCAATGATGTTTGCCAGGCCAACAATTCAGTTTTTGAATTCATTGAATGTACCGGGTATGCCACCGCACCATTTACAACTGAAGAATGAAATGGAATATTTTGCTTCGTAATTTGAACCCACACTTCTTTGCAATGGCACAAGATGAGTCATTAAAAAATTAATGAAAAACATTATCGAAGCCACCAGTTTGAATGGCAAGTTCCAAGGCGAAAATGTATTGCCACAAGCAATCTCAATGGTTCTTACAGATGTGAAACGCACACAATTTCCATTTATATTGGCATTCGCAATACCAAACAATAAGTCAAAAGACCAAGCGTTGTCTTTTTGTGGCTAAGATTTTAGTATTTCATACTTTTCCCACGGACAACTTTATGTAGCATGTTTTCACGTTCGCCTTAAAAAAATAGCAGACTTGAACAAAAAACGTTTAATTCTCTTATGTATAATAAAGGACCTTGGGATGCCGATTAAATCATGTTGGACAAAAGTTTATATAGGTTTCTACTGGATCCGTTTTTTTGAAAGAAAACTTTCGCATGAACCGCAGTTCATTTAAAAAATTATGCGAAATCCTCCGGCGTCTACAAAAAATGGATACGAACAACAGAAAAGCTATTCCGCTCGAGAAAAGAGTGGCTATAGCAATATTTGCTTTAGGCTCATCTGCGGAGTATTGGAGTATCGCTAATATGTTCGGCGTAGGTAAATCTACGGTTTGTTAAATTTTGCTGAAATATACTGAAACAATCCTTCCTCAAAAATGCTGCCACTAAATAGAGAAAGCATAACAGAATTGGTGACTGCTTTCGAGGTACTTGGATTCCCACAATGCTTAGGAGCAATTGGTAAATATTAGTTATAAAATCATATATTTACGCCAATGGTCTAATAATTCTTTACAGACGGATGCCACATTGAGGTTTACCCATCATCTGAAGAAGCTGTGGATTATTATAATTACAAAGGATGGTATTCCATCGTTTTATTGGCATTAGTTGATGCTAAGTAAAGTTTAGAAACACAATATACATATAAGTACATATGTAATATATACAATACATTGTATTTTCATATACCGTTTTATTTAAATAAACGTTGAGTGCCGGGCGAAGTAATGACTCTCAAATTTATGAGAAGTCGTCATTTAATTGAGAAATGCAGAATTGTCCTATAGTAAGTGAAATTATGTCTCGTGAAATTTCAGGCGTAAATGTGCCAGTTTTTATATTTTGGGATTCGGCTGTTCGATTTAGAAAACAACTAATGAAACCGTATCCATTAAGCGTAAATCAAAATCATTGTGAGAAGGTATTCAACTACGCCCTTTCGAAAACACGTAGAGTTGTCGAAAATGCCTTTGGACACCTCAAGGCCCGCTTTCGACGAATTGGAAAAGGAATTGACAACTCTGTATGTAATGCCAATTTAATAATATTATATTTTGCCAGCCCTAAATGTCACTTGAGAATTTGTTCACATTCCACTGTGTTCAAATGGAGAAAAAAATATATAAAAAACTAAATTCGTGGAGTGAGAGGGGAGAAGCCCTACTAATTGTGATATGGGAAGCAAAAGTTGGTGCGCTTCGGGGGCCAAGAAAGAATAGCCACATATTAAAGGAAATGGCAGTGGAGCTGCAGCAGCAAGGTGTCACCTTTACGGCGGGAGAAGTCAAAACCAAGATGCACAATCTGTCGCAAAGATTTAGGTAAACAAAATTGAATAAAAATAAATACTAAACAATATTGAGTAAATATTAATGCGTTATATGTTATTATGTTTTATAGGAAGGAGAAAACAGCAGTCGGTTTAACTGGCGGCTCTTCCTCGCAGTGGCCTTTGTTTAAAAAAAGAGCGCAATAATGTGTCCACTACTGGGCTTAGTGGAGGAAAGCTTTTTAAAGTAAGAGACATGTGTTTTTATTGAATATATTATTTATATTTACATATATATATATACATTTTTAAAAAGGTTCTACGAACTCCGAACCGATGGAAATTTCGGTGGAAACGGCTGCAACATTTGTTGCTGCATCTCCACATTTGTTGCTGCATCTCCACTGCCATCACCTGTTTGCACTCTTTCCCCCTCAGCGATGATAATGTCACCAACCGAGTCGCCACCCGAACCGATAGATTCTGCTAATAAGAAAAAAAATAATTATCAAAGTTTGATATTAAAAAAAAATGGAAAATATTGAAATAGAAATAAAAAAAAAAACAAATGAAGATTTCAATGTACGTAACGAAAATGTTTTTAAAATTAAAGAATTTGTAAAGGATACAAAATAAATAAATAAAATACCTCTTAATTTTTTAAAAAAATATAAAATAAAAATAAAATATTTTTGGAATATGGTTAGCGCCGCCTTAAATGCGTTCAGCCTGATAAATTATACTTAAAATTTTTACTCGACAAAAAATGGACAAAGTTTCTCCGTTAATTGGGTCGTCAGACGCATATAAAACATGACTCGGATTTTGGCGTCTAGTCTCCAACTCTTCCAAACCGTGTAACCATTTAGCGTTTAAAGTATCGTTGTTTTCATTTAAAAATTGTGAAGGACGCAACAGGCTTTTATAATATGTCTTCTAATAATATCGATTAAAATAGAGCAGGCACCGATTATAATGAGTGGAATGTAAGTTTTCAAGGGGTTTTCCGCGAAAACTGCGTTTTCGTTTGACAGATTTTGTATTGATGAAAACACAAGTTTTCGGGTGAAAACCTCTTTTGTCTATGAAAACACGAATTTTGTGTCGGTGCGAACATAGTATTAGCTAATTTTATGTTTTTGTTGAAAAAATTGTTGTAAGCATCCACAAATCCTGTATTTTAAATATTCCTCATGAAATTTGAATTATGTCATATTCATTTAATTTTTTAACTGCAGTAGGCATTATAGTAGTATTTATAAAGCCAAAGGGCAAAAAAAAAGGAAATCTGCTTCCATTGTTGTTTAGCTGTGACAGATACGACAAGGTTAGGTTAGGTTATACTGGCAGGCTGTCACACCATACATAGGTCCTTAGCAATGTCAGATGGAGTTACAGTTTAATTTGAGCTGAAGTATTTGTCATACAGGACGTCAACGCTTTTTGCGAACCTTAATGGCGACTTGATATCTAATTTTGATATTTCATCTAGTCTCTTGAACTGCGAAGCTCTTAGATATCTAAGTCGAGTTCTAGATAATGCCGGACAGAAGCATCTGAGGTGTTTCTGCGTCTCTCTCAAGCCTTCTTCTCTGCACTTTCTACATGTGTCATCGTTAATAATGCCCATACGGCTCGCATGTGATGCCAGTAGGTTGTGACCTGTCAGGTTGAGACTGATCCGTCTGTCAGACTTTTCGGAAATTTCATTGTATATCGTTTTTAGAAACTTCCGTATTTTCTGTTCTGGTACGGTAGCCAGACTATTAGCATTTGGGGCAATCTCATCAGCTATTGCGTTTCCCGGAATTCCTTTGTGGCCTGGAAGCCAGTATATGTATGCAGTCGCTTTCCGGCAGGCGGTACATCTATTGACTCCCGGCTTATATTGACATTATCTGATTTAATGCGATGTGAGATCTTATTCTTTAGCTCTAGTGCCCTCTCTGTATTTAAGGTTAGCAAGTGAAATGCAGTCGCCGAGGATCTGCCCTTGGTGCTGTGCTTTCGACATGTTAGCCCATAAAAGGTTGTCTCTAATATAGACGCGTAGCATTTGTTCAAATGTCTTCAGAAGGAATAAGGTTAGACTTATTGGTCTATATAATTTCGAATAAACTGGGACTCCTTTGCCGGCCTTCGGTATGAATACGACCCTCACTTCTATCCAAATGGTAGGTACATAGTTAAGCCTTAAACATCCTTCGTATATTGTGATCATTCATTCTGCAATACCGTCCATTGGTATGGATGCATAATTTATCAACAGCGCCCAAAGTATTCTTTCCTTTGTTATGATATTTGTAGGAATGTACTCCACACTAGTCCCCTCTCCACATTTTTTGCATAGTAGCCTAGGGTATTCGGATGTTCGGATAGTAATTTCCTAAGCCTAGCTACCTCGGTTGTCTTTTCTAACCTGCCGCAGAAGTTCGTCCACGACTCTCTCTTAGTTTTATGAATTTCTTTTTAATATTCTTTAAGTATATCTTTGTATTCCATCCAGAAGGACTCTTTGCCGGCCAACTTGGCCAGCTAGAATAGTTCCTTAACACTGCGCCTCCGTGATCCGAGCTCTTTGTTCCACGTTTTGAATCTATCGGAGGGCACGCGATGTTATACGCTTTTTTGAGAACATTCGTGAATATGACTCTCCTTTAGTTCATAGAAAGAGTCACAGTTCTCGAGTCTACTTAAATTCCCCATTACTATCTTTCTGTACAGATCCCAGTTAGTATTCTAAGAATTTCTAGTATGCAGTGTTACATGAAGAACGTTCTTCGAGGTAGAGCCAATATATGTTGGTTCTGTCTGAATTGAGGAGGAGTACGGCAGAGACGACCTTGCTTTTATGCAGTTTATTTGAAAAACCTTCACTTTTAAGTTCGGGTTTCTTCGCAGGGTCGGGCTGAATATCTGGTTCTCCCTCAGTTGTCAGCTGGGTTGCGCTTCTTCAGTACATGTGAGTCATTAATTATTGTTGCATAAGTCATTGAATTAGCTAATTAATTTAATATAATTTTAAACTTTTATCCAAACTCATTTATTTATATTAAAATCATCATTTAATTTCCTTATTATTTTGTATATTTTTTTGGATATATGTTTTTTTAAATAAGGTATATCTACTTCAATATGGGAACAGTCGTTTAAAATCCCCTTTCCATAAGAATGAGTTTAGGCCATCTATTAAAATTTATAGAGAATTCCAGATCTAACAACTTGTTAGATTTATTCATTAATTTCGTGTTCACCCGTGCTGAAATAGAAATCTGCGCTAACAAATTTGTTAGCATTTGTGAACCATGTATCCAGGGCCCGATCTCGGTATTTAGCCGCCCCGGGCAAAGATCATTTTCGCCGCCCTTTACATACACAAAGCTATATAAGTCATAAGCTAGTTTTGTTGTAGGATGCTAAGTATATAAGTAACTACATAAAATACGTGATATTGTTGGGATTATACCTACAATATTCAAGAAGAAGAAGTCTATTGGGACTTCTGAAGAAGTACCTATACGAAAGTTGATGAGTGTTTTTATGTTAGTAGGTATACAATATGTCTTTATAGGCAATTTCACAGAAATTGATATATTTTTTTATCGACATAGTTATGTACCTTTCAAGTTTATCATCATCATCAACCTATTGCGACTCACTGCTGCGTATTTCCCTGTTTTGGGCTAATGTTGCCCTTTAACTAAAGGAATAATGAACATTTTTCATTAAAATTGTTTCAGAAGTTAAAAAGATTAGGACCACACTGTTTAATTGTTTATTATGGTCAATCGGTTCATGTTAAGTTAAAGTTCATACGGTACGTATAAAAAAGCCATAACAAAAAATTTGTTTTAAAATTTAGGTTAAATTTTTAGTTAAGCATTAGTTAAGCATCCCACGATTTCAGGGTAAAGAGGGGTATGGTTGGATAGAGGAGATTTTCCAGATCACGAATATATATTATTATTGCCGCCGGAAACTTATAGTTTTCGAGATATTTGCATTTTAAGTTGAAAATTTCACAAATTTTATTTTACAATTTCTCGATTTATGGTTATCTTTTCTTTTATATTATGCACTTGTTATACACTAACTTTTCACTTTAATGTTTCTACATATTTATTTTATATTAAATACTTAAGTATTTGCTTTAAATAATCACCACTTGCAACTGTTACTGGTAAAGTTAAAAAGAGCGCAATACTGATATTTGGACCAAATCTTAAATCTGTTACAAATTTTAAAACATCTTGAGGAGATAAATTACTATTTGAAAACATACAAAAGACTGACAACTCCTCACAAAGTTTTAATGCATTTATATCGCTTGAGTTCTCATGAGTTAAAATATCGTCGAGATTCTTACAATGTTCTAACAATCCATCTTTTGGGAGTTCTCTTGAGGCATATATAATATTATACAAAAAAGCAAAATGTTTACTGTGCTCAGAAATCTGGAAAAGTCTTAATTCTAAAGAGTTTATGGCTGTATCCATAATTTGAAAAAATACTTCAATTTTATATTTTTTACGAAGCTCAATGATTGGTTCGTCAACACACTCATAAGTAAAATGCTTTTTCTTGGATAGTGCACGTCTAGCCACATTTTCAAAGTCTAACACCTCGCAATCAATTTCAGAAGCTAAGGCTTTGGCGTCTTCAAGAACTTTAGTAAAATACTCATCTGAACGTGAGTTTTCAAAGAAATCTTTTGTGGAAATCTTTGACGGAAACTAAATGAAAATCTTTAGTTAGCATTAATTTACTGACAGGGTTTATGGGATTTAAATTTTCGTACTGAATTATAATAGAACATAAAAATTGAAACTGTTTAATTTGATTCAACAAACCCGAAGTCTCGTGTGGAGGTATATACCTCCTGCTCAAATATAAACGAGACTGGCTCAAACAACAAAAACGGTTAATTATTCTTCAATATGTATTTTATCCCCTTCAAAATAGTCACCATTAGAGGCGATACACATATGCCACCTTTTTTTCCAATCTTCCTAACACTTCTGGTAGGCCGCTTTAGGTATGGCTTTCAGTTCTTTCTTCGAATTCTCTTTTATGACTTCAATCGACTGAAAATGCTTTCCACGAAGCGGCAATTTGAGTTTAGGGAAAAGAAAAAAGTCACACGGTGCCATGTCGGGTGAATACGGTGCTTGCGGAACAATATTTACGTTGTTTTTGGTCAAATAATCGCGTACAAGACGAGACGTATGAGCTGGATTTTGGAACAAGTCGAGCAGACACACGTCTCATGCCCAAAACATCGTGAATAATGCTATGAACGGATCCATTTGATATGTTGAGCTCACTAGCTATCTCTCTTTCAGTCACACGACGATTTTCCAACACAATTTTCTTTACTTTTTCGACGTTTTCTTCGTTTATTGACGTTGCTGGACGACGATCATGGGGCAAGGTCTCCAGCGATGTTCGGCCGTCCTTGAACGACTCATACCAATCAAAAATACGTGTACGTGATAGGCAAGACTCCCCATATGCCTTCTGCAACATTTTCATTGCGTCCGTCGCACTTATTCCTTTGGAATAACAAAATTTCAAACAAACACTTTTTACTCAACGTTAACTTCCATAGTAAAATTCGAAAAACACACTCGAGGTTGACTTGTTTATAGTGCCTTAAAAAAAAACTATGTGACAGATCGCGCTCAAATTTGACATGTAAACATATAACAGTCCTGCCAACCTAAGCAAAAAAAATATGGCCATATGTCATGTCCTTGTTGAGTTATGGATAAAGTCTCGTTTTGGGTTGAGCAGAAGGTATATCTGTGCTTTGGTAAACACTAAACAATCGTGTCACTAAGTGGCTTTAGAGTAATACCTTTTATATTCTTCAAAAGAATTGACCACCTTAATGTTGAAGTGAAAAAAAAACATATATTTTTTGCACAATATTAAAAATATTGTAGCTTCCAGTGAGGACTTTGCCATGTCGTTTACCACTAAGTTTAAAGAATGATTTGGATTGATGTTTTGAATCCTGGCTTGGACGCCGCTTTCAATACGTTTTATGAAACGTATTAGATCCATTATCGTACTCTTGTCCTCTTATTTTTCCAATCCAAGTGCTGATTGTTGTTTTACGATAATTTTTGTTAGTGCCAGACCTGTAGATTTCTCGATTGGTATAAATCCTAAACAACTTTCATTTATTAAAATCTCTGATGTTCTTGAATTGTCTTGGGATTGAATAATTGAAATATACCTAATTATCATGGTAATCTGTAAACCTCCGAACATTGATATCTTGTCGAAATTTAAATTCATACAGTGGGTCTGGAGAACCTCTATTTACCAAATATATTCTTTCTGCGTCTGTTAATCTATTGGGACACGTGGCTGTGTCGACATCTAAATAAGATGTTGAGCACTTGGATCTGCAATAGCACTTTCCCCCCTTCACCTGCTTGGTTTTGTCGCTCTGCGTCTTTTTCAAGTCTTCGTTTTTATATTGGTGTCCCGACAAGCGTGATCTACCGTCAGCCATTCTGTACGGTAAAAAATAAAAATATGAAATACATTTACATAGCACTTAAAACATTTTTAACATACCTTGCGGTCAATATCAAATTAATTAAATTCAAAACTTGTTATAGTCCCGAATAGCCTATTATTCAAATAAGAACTGTCAAACTCATACAACAACTGTCAAAGACTGAAAATTTAATTGACGAATAGGCTATCCGGAGATGGTGAAATCAGCACTAAAACTATTTTACTATTTACTATTTACTTTTAGCAAGGTGTGTTCAATATTACGTATTACAATTTAATTTATAAAATAGATAGGACTTACTTAGTAAATTCACACGTGCGCTTCTATATTTATATTGTATGATGAATCTGCCGAACAAAAATCACGTCACTTTTAAATTTAAGAATATAATCATCTTGTAGTATTAGCATATATTTCACATAAATAGATTAAACATTTTAATTCTGAATCACTTATTAACCACTACATTATGATATACGAATATGATGAAAATTTGTCTTTAGGGCAGAACATTTTACTAGGAGTCTTTTAAATAAGTAATGGAAAATTAGTACAATCTTTTGCTTATATATGATATTTAAAGGATTTCCCTAAAATGTCGCGTTGTACGAATCTAGCTAAAGGGTATTCCTCCGAAAGTTTGAGGGAGATCCCCATCAAACATAAAATATACTGAAAGTTGCCAGTTCAGAAATGTAAAATGCAGAAAATTCGGATAGGTATTCCTTCTTCTTAGTGTTCCACAAAATTTCAAAAGTATCGATACATTACTCGATACCAGTATCGTATCAGATTTATCGGTACCGGAAAAAGGATCGGTACTAAACTATCGATATTGATAGGTATCAAGTACTTTTCAATTTATTTTTAAAACTTCCGATTGAGTAATATCCGTAATATCAAATATTATCCGAGAAATTTCGGAACTTGGAGTTCAGAACTTATCAACAATAATACACCTCTTAATAATGGTATCATACTAACTAAATTTAAATTTCGATGTATTAAATTGTCGGTACAAAATTAAATTAGCGCAACAGTAAGAAAGTAAATCAGGATTGAACCGTATTAAATAATTTTTTACTTAATTGATGAAAATAAATCTATTGTACTTAATAGGAAAATAGGTACCAATCACGAGAAACTGGCAACACAAGTTTTAAACATAAGCTATTGTCTATATATAAGGGTAGTCCCCTACAAACCAAATCTAATTATGGTACCTCAAAAATATCGAACAGAAAGGTTGAAAGGTAGGATTAAGTAAATTTTGCCGCTTTGGAAAATGCCCGGCTTGCCTCCCCTTAGATCGGGCCCTGCATGTATCTGTGGGGTTTAAGTAGAATAAGCAGACAATTTTATATACAATACACTGGGTATAGCAAAGCTTTCGATAAAGTAAATTCTCGTATAAAAACTTAATATTTTTGATTTTCAACCAAGATTTCTTCGATACCCGTTTCCTATCTGAATAAAAGAACACAGCAAGTGTTGAACGTTAAAAAATGTAAAACGATGTGATTTTCCCGTACATCTGCACCTCTCCTCTATGTTTTTTTTTTTTTGATTCGGTTCTACCTAATTTTATTCATAGATCTTAATGAGTAGAAAGAAATCGCTTTAGCATGTGTCGATGCCACCAGATGAAACTGCCAATATGAACATAGAAATGTTCGCAGACTTTTTCTGCGCTGCCAAATTACTATTTTTTGTAAATTAGTTTATAAAACTTTGGTGTCAGACTTTCATTGCTTTAAATGCTATGGGATTATGCTACAGACTAGTAATAAAACACTTTATATGATTATGCTCCAAAATTTAGTATATAAAGGCTATGTTTTAACAAAAGAAAATAACATATTAGCGTGTACGCAGACCTTTTCTGGCGAGTGTGTATACTTGTACATACATTTTATCTATTTGTAAGTTGCAAGAATACAAAATGTTCGGTTATACCCAAATATAGTCCTTCCATACTTGTTTAATATAACTACCGGCGGGTCCATAATGGAGCAGGATATACTCCGAGGAGTATACTTCGATGATTTGGGCATCTCTCTTTCTATCCGTCTACCAACCATATACACGGATAGCCAGACAACACTGCTGGCCTTGTCGACACCAAGAATTAATTCCAGTATAGTAAAAAACTGCCGGCTTTTAGCTCACTCACAGGGCAACTCGACTTATCCATAATTTGGGTGCTCGGTATTAGTAACATTTTCGGTAACGAAAAGGCAGACGAGTTAGCAAAGCAAATAGACCCCTTATTTAGACGAATCCGGAGCGGAGTTAAAACCATGCCCGATGGGAACGATTAAATGGGAGCTTTATATTCATTTTATACAAATAGCTTAAATCAGATGGATTGATATGACTTAATAACCCCGGTAACCCCTGCACAGGCTCTTTGTATTCTATTAAGTTTCCTGATATTATATTGCTTTCCTAATACTGGCCACCAAACTAGTGCTCCTTTAGTTAGGATTGGTCTAACGACGGCCGTATACATCCACATGACTATATATGGTTTGAGGCCCCAGTTCCTGCTAAGTATTCGTTTGTAGGTGTAGTAGGTTATATACGTTTTGTTTATTCGTTTTAGTACTCTTCCCATAATCTCCCTGATTGTAGTAGAAAACATCCCTGATACCACCAGCATTATGTCGTCTGCATATGCTATTGCTTTCATTCCTCCTCCATTGAGTTGATTCCATTCAATGCCACCACCCATAGAAGCGGGAAAAGGACTCCTCCTTTAGGAGTGCCTCTGCTTATGTAGCTTGTTCGTATGACTGCGATATTTATTGCTATAATCTTCCTGTTTATATGCATCGATCATGTCCATCTGCAAGTAATGTCTTCTATACCGCCATGTGACAGGGACTCGATAATCGTGCTTATTTCTATGTTGTTGAAGGCTACAGCTCATGCTGAAATTCGGAACCGAATTAGCAATCATCAGCGAGCAATACAGGATAGTGCAAGACGGAACATGGTTGGAGGACATCACCGCAACAGCGGCAATATGGCTAACGGAAAGCAGCGGCTTCAAAACAACAAGCAGCGGGAGAGGAAATGGTTTTGTCTGGATAAGCAACGAAAACATCATGATAATTAGCTGCTACCTGACACCGAGCGATCCTATCTCAGAATTCCAAGCAAAGCTCGATGCCATTGAGGATGCCGCGCATCACCAAATCGGCACTTAATCATAGCCGGAGATTTCAACGCCAAGACCATGGAATGGGGCACACCGACAACAAATTTGAGGGGACGCAAAATCCTTGACATGGCAGCTAGATTAGGACTTATCGTTGCCAACAGAGGATCCCAAACAACTTTCAAAAGGCCGGGATGCAACGACACAACTCCCGATATTACGCTGGTATCTGAAGGACTCGCAAACAAGCTACGCGAATGGAAAGTGCTAGAAGACTACACAGGTAGCAATCACCAATACATATCCTACCTCATAGGTCCAGACAAAAGTCAAGCAACAACTAAAAGAAGAAGAACACGTAAATGGAACGTTTTCAAGCTAGACTCAGGAAAACTCCTCGCAAGCATAGACAAAAACCCACCAAAATACCACGCAAGTAGCCCAGCTAGGTTTATTGTCAAAGAAACACTGGACAGCATCACAGAGGCATGTAAGGCAGCCATGCCCAAAATAAAAGGCGGACATCCAAAGACAGCAGTTGATTGGTGGACGGACGAAATACGAAATCTGAGACAAACTTGCCTGCGTAAAAGACATCCCATACACAAGGGCTAGAAGAAGAGGAAGAAACGAAATGAAAGAGCATAAGGAATATAAAGCTGCGAAAACTGAGCTGAAAGATGCAACAATAAAGGCAAAGAAAGATAAATGGGAAAAGCTACGTAGTGATATAAACAAAAATCCTTGGGGTCTCGGATACAAGATCGTAATGAGAAAGCTCGGGGCGAAACAGTCCATTCCAGAGTTAAACGCTGCAGCCATGGAGCACATCGTAAACACTCTGTTCCCAACCCATGTCCTGGGAAGAGACCCACCAGATTATATGCAAGAGATCTCATGCCCACCGTTCACTCTGGAGGAAATGAGCATGGCCGCAAGAACTTTAAAGAACAAAAAAGCTCCCGGCCCTGACGGGATACCAGTGATAAAGCTAATCGCCGCAGAACGTCCTCACTTACTGTTATCCATGTATAATGCATGTTTGAACGAGGGCATCTTCCGAGAAGTATGGAAGAGACAACATCTGACCCTGATAAGTAAAGGAAAAGGAAACCCAGGAACACCATCAGCATACAGATACAGCAGGAAAGTTACTAGAAAGGCTGTTGAAACCCCGCATAATAGGCGCCATAAACAACGCTGGAGGCTTATCAGAGCGACAACATGGTTTCAGACCAGGCAGATCCACAATCGGAGCCGTTGAAGACGTCGTGCACAGCGTGGACGAAGCCAATCGGAAGAACAACTCCTCGAGGCCAATAGTCCTCCTCGCAACAATAGACATAAGAAATGTATTCAATAGCGCAAAATGGATAAATATGATAGATGCACTAGAAAGCCGATTCAAAACGCCCCCCTACCTGATGAAAATTATACTTAAAGACAGGGAACTGCTATATGACACAAGGGACGGCCCTCAAAGAAAAGAAATCATCTCCGGAGCAGCGCAGGGATCCATACTTGGACCAGACCTATGGAACGTCAGCTACGACGGAATTTTAAACGTCGAAATGCCAGAGGACTGCTACCCCGTTGGGTACGCGGACGACATCGCTGCCGTCATAACAGCTCGTAATACCGACATAGCCAGACGCAGACTTACACAAGTCATGCTGCGAGCACAGACATGGTTGGACTCACACGGCCTTAGCATAGCCGCAGAAAAAACCGAGCTGATCCTGCTCACTAGGAAACATATCCCGTTGGAGGTGAACATGAAAGTTCATTCAGAAACCATACAAACGACGAAAACCCTAAAATACCGAGGTATAAGAATGGACAACAAACTGACGTATTGGGCTCAAATTCAGCACGCTGCTAAAAAGTCAGCCAATATAACCATGTCGCTTTCAAGACTTATGGCAAACATCGGAGGTCCGCTTGCAAGCAGAAGGAAACTGCTCATGGATACAACACAGTCAGTGCTATTATATGGTAGTGAACTGTGGGCCGATACATTAAATGTGAAACATAGACGAAAAGTAGTTGCTCAGGTGCAGAGAACAGCAGCCCTGAGAGTCGCCTCGGCTTACCGCACTGTATCCGAATCCGCAGTGCTAGTGATAAGCTGCGTAATCCCAATAGATCTACTCGCAAAGGAGAGAAGACAACTCTGGTTTTGGAAGAAAAATGGAACGGAAATACACATGCAAACAAGACAACAAGCAAGGAAGCAAACACTCGAATTTTGGCAAGATCGGTGGACAAGGGAGCGCAAAGGGAGATGGACCGCCAAATTGATCAAAGATATAGAGACATGGCACAGTAGAAAACACGGCGAGGTGAACTACTACCTAACACAGATGCTCTCCGGCCACGGATATTTTCGAAAATACCTGTATAACATGGGTAAAGCCGAGAGCCCTGCATGTATTTACGGAGACGAACCACTCGATGATGCAAATCATACCTTCTTTAAGTGCCATCGATGGAATGAAGATCGGAGAACTCTAGAGAACAAAGTTGGAGAACTAAACACGGAAAACCTAATAGCGAAAATGATAGCTAGCGGCGAAAACTGGCAACAAATTGCCTCATACGTGGACGCGGACCCTCCGAACAATTCCACTCAATAGAAGATAGTCAGCCTGATGCTGGCTACAAACCAGTAGGCATCCCTGGACGCAGAGAGAGTAGAAACTGACCAGCTATGGGTCCATCTTGGAAACCTTGCTCTGAAGTAATGCGAAAGCGGTCCCGGGGCAAGGTAAAAATCCATGATAGAAGGGGGGAGTGTTTTAGTAAGTACACCACTCACGTAGGATGACGATCCCTATATGGTGCGAAGGCATTTTAAACCCTCCTTACGGCCTAAAAAAAAAAAAAAAAGGCTACTTCTATGCTAAGAAAGGCCGCCATTGTATACTATTTGTGATAAACTGATTTCCCAATTACATTAATCACTTCGTGTAGGACAGTTTCGGTTATCATGTGTTCTTCGGTCTGGTTAAGGGAGGAACACCACTTTGACTCTTGCCCAACTTCTTGGGATGTAACATACAAGTAGTTGAATACTGGCCTTGTATAGCGTATATAACTTTCTTCTTACTCACTATGTGGTCGGATCGGTCTGCCGCATTTGCACGCATGTCAGGTTGTATCTCAACAGCGGGTTGCTGACTACCAGAGAAGTGTGTTTTTAGGAGTTCCTCAAAAGATTCGCCAGCAGAGGAGGTCCAGGCTCCAACCTTCGTCTTTAAATAAGCTATATAAATGTGGTTGTCAGATTTTGGTCATATAACTTTCATTGAATGCTTTTCTAAATTGGATTCTTAGGGTTTTAAGGTCACCGTTCCACCAAGGAGGCAACTTCTTCGTTTTGAGAACGGTTAACAGTGTAGATCGGTTGAAGGAGGTGGTTAGGATCTTTTCTAACATTTTTATTTCTAGTTTTTGAGAACTACTGATTTTATTCATAAAACTATTTACTTTTAAGGTTTTTGTTGCTATTTTGTTAAATTTATCCCATGCTGTTTTCCTGGGGTTTTGATATTGGAAAGGAGTATTGGATTTCTCGCTTAAGAGTATCCAGGAGTAATTCGACATAGATGGCTCCATTGACATCCTCCAGTCATCGACGATCAGGCTATCTGTTTCTGTTGATAGTGAAAGATCCAGGACTTCCTCCCAACCCGAAAAAATTTCCGAACTTGGGAAAATGAAAGTTGGCCTATTACATATACTTAAATTAATATTTTAAATATGTTGCAATATCGACTCACCCCTGGTGATTGTGTTGATGCTTCCCCATATGGTGTATCTTGCATTGGCATTTTACTAGTGGTACAGGTGGCACGTCCCTGTCGTGGGTCATGTAGTTATGACGACACTAGCAAGAAGTTGCCGCTTTGTTGTCGCTGCCGTGTTGTCTGCTGTTCTATAGTTAGGACAAAGAAATGCGTTTATATCTTTCCTGATAATAATGCATGCTCTTGGTTTACATTCATTTTTCTTATAATAATAAATGTTATAGTTTAGCCCTTTGATCGCGTCGTCTGACACCCGGGGCTCTTGGATCAGACTGATGTCGATGCACTTACCACTATCACTGAAGAGGGCTGTCAGATTAGCTGTCACACTTTTTGGGTGCAGCAGATTTATCTGCACGTATCTAAGTGTTATTTTCTTTTATCGCCACCTTCCTTAGTAACTGGCTGGCGTCATCGACCTCTTCTGTCGTTTTCGTCAGCCATTTTCTTGCCTTAAAAGATCTTAAATCTGGCCTTGCTGATTTGATTATCAGCCTTCGATAGAGCCCTATCGACTCCCCGCAGATGGTCACTAGTATGGGCTTACTTGTTTTATTTGGCTTCTCCTCTTTACCATATATCGAAACAAGTAAGGGAGGGCTAAGCTCGCGTGTAACCGAACGTTTTATACTCTTGCAACTGGCAAGGATCAAAGCCGGCTAAATACCTTCAGTTGAAGGCACAAATTTATACTAAAAAAAAGGTAGCGAAAGGGTTAAACTTCATTGTTCGACGAAATCGTAAATGGATTACAATAAAATTTGGTATCATATTAAATTATTTTGAAGGTCATAGACCCACTTAGTTTTAATACTATATTTTACATCCCGTCAGCGAAAATTATACTTAAATCATCCTCGAATATATATTGTATGTGATATAAAATCTACAGAAGAGGTTAAATTTAATATATTGAGTTGATGTGAAAAACGTCAACCCAAGGATCAAAATTCATTATATTAGGCATATGAGGTTTAGACCAAGACCAATTTCATTTATATTGAGCGCCGAGCAATTATATAATATCTAATATATAAATTTCTCGTATCATTGTGACCAAACTCCTCTGAAACGGCTGGACCGATTTTGATGAATTTGGTGTGCTTATCGCGTAGGTCTGAGAATCGGCAAACAACTATTTCTCGTAGCCCAATGTTAGGGGTGGTCGACCCCAAATAATACCTTTTTTAGTTTTTTGGACACATTTTTTTGTTATTACTTTTTCCAGATGCAGCATTGAAATATAATTACGTATAATTCCAAATTTTCACACCTATATGATCAACCCTGATTTTGAATCGCAATTTTTATATAATTCTATTCTACCCAGAGGCAATCGAATATAATAATTGTAGTATACCATAATTTTCATGTAGTATAGTTCCATCAACCAACCAGTTATCCCCGCCATGTGTCTCCCGTTGTCACTTCTCAACCAGCAAACATTACGGAGTAGGAATGAAAATAAGTCGGCTTATTTTATTCTCATTAAGTCGAGTTAATTTTATTCTCAAAGCGAATTTAACATTATTTCTTTGTGCATCTCGAAAACGGCAGAAGCCGTTCATGAACGAAACAGCGTATGATAGTGTTATAAATCACCAAAACCTACACTCATCGAATTTTTAAAATTTATTGTGTAAACGTGCAAATGTTTTTGGTGTCTATTCAAAAGCAGCTCGCTATTTTACATTGGATCAATTGAATATGATAGTGTTATAAATCACCAAAACCTACGCTCATAGAATTTTTAAAATTTATTGTGTAAACGTTCAAATGTTTTTGGTGTCTATTCAAAAGCAGCTCGCTATTTACATTGGATATATTGAAAAAATGGATACTGCTCAAACAAGGCATACCAGCTGATGCATACCCCGGTTTATCCAAATCAAATATTTTCGGTGATTTTATGGTACATAGTCAATCCAGGGCAGACTAAGTGCAACTGTTTTTGGTTAATGTCACCAGACCATTAACATTTCAAGATATCCGTAAAATAAATACCATATAAATTTGTCTGTGGGAAAAGCATAGACAGAGAAAGTTAATCACGCAACGCACATACATAAGTTGGAAAAAAAACCTATTAAATGTTTATTTTATACATATACAGCCGGTAATACAGCTTTTTAATTCAGAAGGTTTTCATAATTATAAATTTGTCATATCATAGAAATTGAAAACATAAATCTAAATAGGTATGCGCAACGATTTTTCATTTAGGACTATTCGTTGTGTCTATTTATAGCATTTCGCATATTGTGTGGTGTATTTTTCTTTTTCGAAGTTATATTTTTCGATTCCCTCATCTGGAATTACAAATTAGTACTCAAAAGGATTTCATTTAACATTTGCTCCTTCTCTATTCATTGACGTTCTCTGCTTGTGAGTTATTGATCATCATTGCTAATGCCAATCTAATTGGAAATTGAGAGCATAGAATTCAATTGGCATTCAAATTTGACTATTGAAAATAATGTTCGATAATGTTTTTCATTGATTTTTTAAATACTAATTTTTGCCGTTGCAAAGCGGTTGTGGGTTCAAAATATGAAGCGAAATGCATTAAAAAAATAACGGAATTAACATTTCAATTAAATTTTTTTTTGTAGTCCCAAATACGGGATTAAAAAATATAAAGAAAAAGAAATAAACGTTAACTTCGGTTGCTATAATACCCTACACAAATACAAAGGTTCATTACAAGAACTTGATTCCGATTTTTCGATTTATATGGCAGTTATATGATATAGTGATCTGATCTGAACAATTTCTTTGGAAAATACAATGTTGCCTTAAACAATAACTCGTGGCTAATTTCGTGAAGATATCTCGATAATTAAAAAAGTTTTCCATGCAAGCACTTTTTTCCGATCGTTCAGTTTTATGGCAGCTATATGCTCTGATCTGAACGATTTCTTCGGAAAATACATTGTTGCTATAAACAATAAATTATGCCTAATTTCGTGAAGATATCTCGTCAAATGAAAGAGCTTGTTAGTCCAGTCATTTAAGCTTAAATTAGGTAAGAATCACGGAATTCGAGATACCCAGCTGTAAGTTTGTAAATACTTGTATATTGACACCCTAAAAGTTGTCTCAAAACCTACATATGGTAGGGTGTACGCAACTATTAAATTTCAAGGTCAAAGGTCACAAAAATCGGATTTTGCGCTTTTTTTGTAAATATCTCATTTCCTATGGGTTTTTTGCTATTGGTATTTATTATCAATATTGTAGAATACAAAATTCTCTACAAATTTTGTTTAAAAAAATTTTTCATACGGTGAACCGTTTTCGAGATAGAGGGCAGAGAGCGCGCGGTCACGGCATCACTTCAACCGGTGCCTCCGATCAAAAACGCGCCATATACAGTTGATGAACTATCGATAAATCAATGATTATAAATATTTGTCAATTTTTATTAACTATTATATTATATTTTATCATTTTTTCTTAACCTATCCACTTTTTATTCAGTATTAATTTATTTAACAACACTTACCTGCCCATGAAATTGCAGAATTGTTAATGAAAATATAGGAATTATATTTGAATTTAAACCTTATTAATATTAATAACTTCTTACATGATAAAAAAAAAAATAAAAAAAATTTATTAAAAAATATCATTCAATACATTTATTTTTATTAAAAGTAAAAAAATGGAATAAAGGGTACAAAAACTACAATTTATAATTTTAATCATCTTCTTTATTTGTAGAGAATTTTGTATTCTACAATATTGATAATAAATACCAAAAGCAAAAAACCCATAGGGAATGAGATATTTACAAAAAAAGCGCAAAAAACCGATTTTTGTGACCTTTGACCTTGAAATTTAATAGTTGCGTACACCCTGCCATATGTAGGTTTTGAGACAACTTTTAGGGTGTCAATATACAAGTATTTACAGACTTACAGCTGGGTATCTCGAATTCCGAGGTGAACTTACTATAATGACTGGACTATGTTGCCTTAATTTCGTGAAGATACATCGTCAATTTGAAAGATACATCGTCAAGTTTTCCATGCAAGCACTTTACTCCGATCGTTCATCAGCAGCTATATGCTCTAGTGATTCGATGTAAACAATTTCTTCGAAGATTGAACTGTTTGATATTACGTCAAATAAAAAAGTTTCCTATACAAGCACTTGTTTCCGATTGTTTAGTCTGTATGGCAGCTATATGCTATAGTGGTCCCATTTCGGCCGATCCGACAAGCATTTTAGTGAGGAAAAGACAAGTGCAAAAGTTCAGAACGATAGCTTAAAACTGAGGGACTAGTTCGTATATATACAGACAGACGGACATGGCTAAATCAGCTCTGCTCATCCTGGTGATCATTTATATATATATTTTATAGAGTCTCAGCATACCGGATTGAAAAAAAAACAAAAAACGTTTAATTCCAAAAACCGGACTAAAATTTTATTATTAACTTTTAATCCCAACTACTGGATTGAAGAATAAAAAAAAAAAGTTCAATTTTAAGCATAAACTTAAGGATTAAAAAAAGGATTTGTTTTAGAATTAACATATTTTTGAGTTCATTTAAATATATTACGAAATATTTTAAATTTTTAATCCCAAACATCTTGGATTAATAAATATAAATTTAACTTTTAATCCCAACATCAAGTTTAAAATATTTTTTAATTTTAATCCCAACATCGGAATTAAAAAATAAAATTTCCGTGGCAACAACTGATGTATCATTGAATTTACTCTATTGACGTCCACTGTCCCAAGATATGGGTTTTCACCTAAAAGTGGGCTGTGCCACGCCCACTGTCTAATTTTGAACGCGGTTCCTATAAAGTCATCTCATACCATCCCAGAGATAAAATTTAATGTCTCTGGCGTGTTTAGTGCTTGATTTATCACGCTTTTAGAAGTTTTTAACGGTACCGTTAGAGGTTCTAAAAACCTAATGTGATCCTGTATATCAAATAAGAGTCTTGTATCTTATTGCGGAGCTTAGTTATGGCAATTTATTTGTTTTTGATTAATGACGTTTTGTGGGCGTGGCAGTACCAACCGTCTCACGGTACCAAGAAACATGTCTATTAAGTTTCATAAAGATATCTCTATTTTTACTCAA